GTCATGAACACAGTATGAAAGAAATAGAGGCTGGATTGGGATTGTATAAATTGCATAAAGAACCTTATAAGGTAGTGTGTAAAGAATTGTTTCCAGTCTGTGACAACCCTACCTTCAAATGGGCCATAACCCCCACTGAGAAAGGTTACTCTAAAGGACAAAAACTTCCAGAATCTCCTGTAAAGAGGTCATATTTCTGAGCTTTTATTACTTTTTATTATTCGTCGTCGTTTGGTCGTGTCCGACTCTTCGTGACCCCATGAACTAGAGCTCGCCAGGCCCACCTGTCTTCCATTGCCCCCCGGAGTTGTGTCAAATTCATCTTGGTTGCTTCAATGACACTGTCCAACCACCTCGTCCTCTGACATCCCCTTCTCCTCTTGCCGTCACACTTTCCCAGCATCATGGTCTTTTCCAAGGAGTCTTCTCTTCTCATGAGATGGCCAAAGTACTGGAGCCTCAGCTTCAGGATCTATCCTTCCAGTGAGCACTCAGGGTTGATTTCCTTCAGAATGGATAGGTGTGTTCTCCTTACAGTCCAGGGGACTCTCAAGAGCCTCCTCCAGCACCACAGTTCAAAGGCATCAATTCTTCGGCGGTCTGCCTTCTTTATGGTCCAGCTCTCACTTCCATCTATCAAGTTTTGTCATCACTTTCCTCCCAAGAAGCAGGCGTCTTTTAATTTTGTGGCTGCTGCCACCATCTGCAGTGATCATGGAGCCCAAGAAAGTAAAATCTGTCACTGCCTCCATATCTTCTCCTTCTATTTCCCAGGAGGTGATGGGACCAGTGGCCATGATCTTAGTTTTTTTGATGTTGAGTTTCAGACCGTTTTTTGCACTCTCCTCTTTCACCCTCATTACAAGGTTCTTTAGTTCCTCCTCACTTTCTACCATCAGAGTGGTATCATCTGCATATCAGAGGTTGTCAATATTTCTTCCACAATCTTAATTCCGGCTTGGGATTCCTCCAATCCAGCCTTCTGCAAGATGTATTCTGCATATAAGTTAAATAAGCCAGGGGACAATATACAGCCTTGTCGTACTCCTTTCCCAATTTTGAACCAATCAGTTGTTCCATATCCAGTTCTAACTGTTGCTTCCTCTTGTTTTATAATACAATAATTTTACATTGCAAGTTGCTTTGGGTCCCTTTTATAAGAGTTAAAGTAGTGTGATTTACATAAGTGAAAACAAAATGCATGCTAAAAATATTTTTTTTTCTATTTCCAAAACATTTACTATAGCTAGATGGTATGCTTACAACTCAAGGATATTAAATTGAAAGTGAAAATAACCAGAATCCAATCATTTCTACCACAATATCACGTAAACCCAGCAACCACCGAGGTTATAAGGGAACATCCCAGAAAATTCCATTGTCACCTATTTGCAGTGTTGTTATAGGGACCCAAACTATTAATTAAACAATTAATCAAAAACATATTGAAGGTGATGGGAAGACTCTGAAACTGGAACAAATCTAAAAGTTTTTGAATGATGCCGCCATTCAATTGACGTTGTGGAGACATTGCCTCTCTACCTTCTCACCATAAAGAAAAAAGATGAAAGAAGTGGTGAAGAAACACGGAAGGCTTATAAGTGGGAAAAGGGTCGAACCTTCCCTTTCACAAAATTGTGTGAATAAGAGACAGCCTATTCAGACTGAAAGCCTCCCTGGCAGTGATTGGAAGAAAATTGAATGTCTCAATAACTTGTACATTTTTGACAAATTAGCTGTGCTTTGTAGAAAGAATTGTAACAGATTTCATTTTATAGAGCAGTCACAGTACAAGTATTATATTGTTCTTTTCCTAACTTGAAGGTAGCATCCAACCAAAACATCCAGACATGAATACAGATAGCAGCTATGGTTTAACAGTCACAAATATGTTTTGCCTTAATTTGAAGAAAAGCTCGTCACACATCCATCTACTCTTGACATATATCTCAAAGCAGCAAATAGGGCTGTTCTCTGAAGCTATATCATTCTTGAATATATTACACCAGTATGCCCCTACCTGCTCTGTCCTCCAGTATCCAATCTGAGGAAACTTTCATTTCCAGTTTTGGTCTTGGACAAAGCTCAGTCAACAACTGAATGCAGGTATTGCCTGCTATAAACATAAGACATTGGCCAAAATCCTCTTGTGTAGCAATGCATGTGATGTAACTTACTTACTTACTTACTTACTTACTTACTTACTTACTTACTTACTTACTTACTTACTTACTTACTTACTTACTTACTTACTTACTTACTTACTTACTTACTTACTTACTTACTTACTTACTTACTTACTTACTTACTTAATTCATTCATTCATTCATTCATTCATTCATTCATTCATTCATTCATTCATTCATTTGTATCCCACCTATCTGGCCATTTCTACCACTCTAGGCGGCTTTAGGAGGTGAACTGCTCCAAGTTAAGAAATCACCAAAAATGTTATCTGCTCCATGCTGAGTCATTCAACTTCGTAAGCAGCTGATGAGATCTACAGTGATTTTCTAACGTGACACAATTCACCTCCAAAAGTCGGGATGTTGGCAAATCTTTGGGTCTGAGTTTAAGCCTTTGGTACCAGGTCCTGAGTCCCATGCCCCAAGCCCAAATCCTTATTAAAAACAAACTCTTTTGCCCAGAAAAAAAAGAGAGGGGTGGTGGGTTCCAAGTTGGGAGTTGAGCAGTGGTGGGATTCAAATAAATTAACAGGTTCTATGTCCTAATGACCATTTTAACTTTACCAAAAGATATACTGAAAGATAGTTTAATAATTCACACATTAAACACTGCAATAAGAACAGTCCTCTGAAGATGCCGGCCACAGAGACTGGCAAAACGTCAGGAAGAACAACCTTCTGAACATGGCCAAAGAACCCAAAAAAAACCACAGCAACCATCAGATCCTGACCATGAAAGCCTTCGAGAATACAAATCTTGGTTTGTTTGTTTTTTAATCCCTAAGAAAACTTGCAATTTTTTAAAATGTGCAAGTTTTCTAAACGTATACCAGCAATCACATTTGTTCAAATAACAAAAGATATAGGGAAAAAAGTGGGGAATAGAGATGGGGGAGTATTTGCATCACATTTGTTCAAACAACAGAAGATATAGGGGGAAAAGTGGGGACTAGAGATGGGGGTGGTATTTGTACTCATATACAAATACAGATATCCCCATGCAGCTGGACCTAATGAGGGTTTGGCCCTGACTTTAGTAAAAAAAAGTTACTACTGGGATTGAGAGTCTATGACTGTCCATATGTATGCATTTCTCTTATATGGGCTTTGATTGCCTAATTTTCTCTCTCTCCCCCATTCTTGCTTCCCTCCTTTGTGGTGGTATAAATCCCACTGTCTAAAATCTACTACTCAACTAATTGTGTGTAATCAGGTAGATTCAGACTTATGGCAACCGTTTTCAGGGTATACGAGCTAGTGACTACTCAGAAGTGGTTTATCATTCCCTTCTTCTGGGGGCACCCTAAGGCTGTACAGCTTGTCCAAGGCTACATAGGTTAGCTCTTTTCTTAGGAAGCACAGTGGGCAATTGAACTCACAACCTCTGGCTCTGCAGAGCTGAATATACTGAATACTCAGACTCCAACAGTCACTGTGAAGTTCAATACAATGAATATGTCAGGGTAAAAAAAGATGTCAGATATCAATAAGATGTGAATAAGCCCATTTCCTGTACTCTTAAAATGATCATTCGACCCTAGCATGCTGCCCAGTTCAAGACTAAGGTGCTGGCAACAGTCTCTGTTGGCTTCTTTGGCTATCAAAAGAACTGTCAGGCACCATTATTCCCTTTCATCATGTTCTCTGTCACCATGTCCTGCCCTTGTGTTTCTGCTCTGCAGACTGTCACCAGTCTTCACAGCTAACAATAAGAAACTTCACTTTCCTGTCAATAATCAAACTTAATAGGCTTGCTTACGCTCAAGTATGTCTCACTTTGATCATCCCACAACACACTCATTATACAAAAGGGACTGATGGAGCAGTGTCCTCCTCAACTTAATACACAACTGGAGCTGGAGCGCGCTGGCGGCTAGCCTTTGCAAGAACCCATCGCCCCTCTCAGCTGGACTCGGGCCCGCTTCAGCGGCGCGACTCTCAGCATGGGGTAACTGCTCGCCTGCCGCCCAGAGCCTGCTCCATGCTGAGGGCAGGTTGCCTCCTGGCGAACCTGACACGTGCGCCACAAAGGGGAGGGGAGGAGAGACCAGAGAGGGGTGGGAAAAGGAGGGGAGGGGAGGAGGGCACTACTGCTGCTGCCACCGGGGAGGAGGAGAGGAAGCAGCCCCGGGGGCAGAGGAGAGGGGGACTCCTACGGTTCAGGCAGCCGAGGGCTGGTGCTCACCGAGGCGACGGCGGCAGCAGAGGTTCCTGGGAGGCTGCAGAAAGGATGGCAAGCAACATCCACATTGGGTGCCAGGAGAAGCAGGAGGGAGGTTGCCAAGCCCTGGCTGAGACACCCACCCTCCAGGCTCCGGGCAGAGCGCGGCTCGTAGAGGCGGTGGCAACGGCTCAATCCGAGCGTGCTTTGGCAGGCAGCAGCCATCAATAAATCTCTCCCCTCCCCCCACACCTCCCCCCACAAAGCCAGCAGGGAGAGGCTCCGAGGGCTCCGAGGCACATGCCCAGCCACCGGCAATCCCGACGTTGCCGCGATGGGCAGGAGGGGACGGGAGGGGAGGCCAAGTTGGAACAGAGGGAAAGAGAAAGGAAGCCCGCTGTTGGGGCTTCCTCTGAGCCCACAACACCGAATGGTGGTGAGGCCTCCCGTTCTCAGCGGAAACTGTGAGAGTTTATTTATTTGTTTGTTTGTTTGTTTATTGGATTTTACCCCGCCCCTCTAGACCATGCAGAACCTATAGTAAATTAGGTACCGGTTCTGTAGAACCGGTGCGAACTGGCTGAATCCCACCACTGGAGTTGAGTCCAAGTCATTGTTAAAAAAACACATTGAGTCAAGTCTGAGTAGCGTCATAAGTGTAATTTAAGTTTGACTTGACAACGAGTCTCACAACTTGAGTTCCCATTCCTGTCCAAATGTTAGAACATTGGTGCTACACTAAATAGGTAAAAGGGTTTCAGCCATTGCTTGTTTGTTTCTTTGTTTATAGTGTGCCTTTCATCTAATGAATTCAAGGCAGGATGCTCTCTTGTTTATCATAAGGTCAGCCTTTTGAGGTGGATCAGGCAAAGCAAACCAAGGGATCAGGAGTTCGTCATCACTTCCTTCGTGAGTTTAAGTGGTGATAGATCATGTGAGATACTTTCCATTGCCACTTCATTCTGTCAACTGGCCACACACGGAGGAGGAAGTTGACTCTGACTTGTTTCTTCATCCTATAGTTTTGCCAACTTCTTTTCTGCTGAAATGATCTAAATTGGAGATGGGCCAAAGCAAAAAACAAATCAGAAAAAATGTCAAAAATTGCTCACTCATTGCTCATTTATTGATTTGTGTTCATCAAATGCAACGACACCAACAAATATGAATAGATGAACTTTTAGTAACTTTCGAGCCATTGATGTGTCTCAAAAAAAATTTTAAAAAAATTTGAGAAGCACCCTAGGCACCTAGAGACACCCACTGCCCCTGTCGCCTCCCTACCAGTGCCTCCTCCTCCATTGCTTCTGCCATCTTGAAAGGCAGGCCTGCTGCTGAGAGGCAGGCGCATGTGCAGAGGCAGACAGCTGGGTGCCAGCCTGACTGGCACTCAAAATAAAAAGCCCAGCTGCCCCAGCTGAAAAGCAGGCTCAGCTAAGGCAACTGGGTTTTTTCAAAGAGAGAGAGAGAGAGAGAGCCACTAAGTTGTCTTTAGATGATGATGATGATGATGATTTAGAGGCAGACAGTCTTCCAAAAAAGGCCCAATTGCCTGTATTTTTTTTAAAAAAAAACCATTTCTTGAAAAATTTGAGTGGCAGCCTCAGACTTCTGCTCAACTGTTTTAAAAAATTAAAAAAATATTTTTAGGGGTTTGTTGCTGTTTTTGAGAGGCAGCTGGGGTTGCCTCTGCGCATGCACCCACCTCTCAGCTGAGGCAGGCACATTTAAAAAAAGGAGGCAGTGGCAGCAAAAGGTAGGGAGGCAATGGGGACAGGGGGCATCTCTAGGTCCCTGGGGAGCCCTCCTATAGAGCTGACAAATCAACAAACAGTTTCATGGTTTGTTGGGGAAGTTAGGAAATTCGTGGTTCATGGACTTCAACAAACCACAAACAAAGACAAATCACCATTTTGCTGTTTCGAGCCCATCTCTAGTCTATAGCATCCTTGATATATATATTCCCTCTCTAGATCCCTGGATATACTAGGGAGTTCTAATTTTCTTGTTTTGTCTGTTTTATTTTTCCCAAACGTTGTGCCTCTTCCTTGTACTGTAGATAAAACCACCCCCTCAGAAAGACTATGTGTGCCTTTTCCTTTGAAACAAATTACTGTACTACCGAGGGCCCAAACTGGACAATATAGTTGGCAAATTGTTGGAAACAAAACTCTTTAGAGTGATAAAAGACTGTTCTAGCGCTAGCTTGCTTCAGTTTCCATTTTGTAAATTAGCTTGCTTCTCTTTTGTGATTGGTCGTCAGAAATTAAACAGAAGCTTTATTTTCAAGTCTGACTATACTTTGAGAGACTTTAGTTGCCTGGAGGGGCTACACATTTCCTTTAATGCATGATTTGACACTGATGCTTTTTGTATGAAGATGCAGTGGGAATGTGAGCAGTTACCCTTTGTCCCTGGATATCCTGTAAGCCTCACAATGTATGGCGAGGGTGAGGGGCATTTTCCTTCCCCCAAAATTGAACAGAAATGATGGTGGCAGCATAGCTGATTTTCAAAGTTGTTGTTTACTCTAGAAAACAACTTGCTCACTACTGGGAGGTGTGGTGTTTGGAATGGCCAGATTACAGTCGAAGAAAAAAAAAGAAACTAAGGAGGACTCAGACAGGAAGGTATGAAGGAAACCTTATTCTGTCCATGTCGGAATTATAGAGTATTTTGCCATTTTACTTTAGCAATTTACTGATTGGGTTGACTCGAAACACCCACAAAATATACTGCTTTCTTTCTGTGAAATATAGCACTTGCTCTTTGCCCTAGCAAGATCTAATATTTTTCTCCTTTTGCACAAGGAAATTTACGGGCAATTTTTTATTTTAGCTGATTTATGGCCGACACAACCCCACAAGAGAGTTAGGTTTGTTATGTGTTTTTTTTTCCTGGTTTGGCACAAGTGTCAGGAGCAGAAAAGTGTTGCCTTCTGTCTTTTCCTATAAATAACACACTAAATCGATGCTCTGAAAATGCTAATTTGTGGCCCTGATTCTGTATTCTTTGGCACTCATGGATTCAAGCATATTTTCAGTGACTCAGAGGGAATAATAGACCCATATAAAAATGAGCTCAGTACTGCCAAGAACAAAGCCTCTTCTGGCAAATGAAGAATTTGCCATGCTAGACATTTTAACTTTGTTCAGTAACTTCTTCCCCCCCCCCGCTCTCCTTTTACAAACTTAATGAGTTAGCCAAGCTAATGAAGTGTGATATCCTATTAAGCACATTGGCTGAGAACAATTAATTCCTAGAAGCACGTTCTCCATTGATTGATTATATTTATCATCCTGCTGTAATTTAAGAAACACTGACTTCTAAGGGGGAATAGTGAATTGCGAATCTTTGTAAACTTTAATTAAAATGAAATTAGCACCAGCCACAGGTTAGGAGAGAGACAAGCATAAGCAACCCATGCAGTGCTCCACTGATCAAGAAAATGTTGTGGGGTGACCTTATTAAAAATATAGTAACCATCGTAAGTGCAGCCTGCCTACCTGAGATTGTGCATGTGCATGTGAATCAGTATGTCTCTGCATGTGTATGCATATGTATTTGCACACATGCACTCCCACAATAGAGTCATATGTCTAGGGAGAGAAATAACTCTGGAGAAATGAATCCTCTACCATCTCTGTTAAAGGTACAAGAGCCAAGACAAGCGTTTCTGATAGCTTGTGGTTGGAAGATACAAATTCTCCCCACCCAAAAAAAAAAAAAAAAGGAATCCCATCAAAGTCTGAGGCCGGGCAATATGTTTATTGGATCACTGAAACATTATATACAAGCTCAACTTGTATAAACAACAGCATGCTAAAGATAAAACACCAAGATAAAACTGGCAGCACAGGATTAAAAACCCTACAGCACATTAAACTAAAGTAAACACACTAGCAAAATAAAGCATGCTGTGATTTTTAAAAAAAATCTCTGAAAATGCCTGGGAGAATATAAAGGGCTGCATTTAAATGCTAGGCAATCTTTTTAGGTGCACTCGACAGATGGAGTGCAACCACTGAAAAAGTTCTCTCTCTCTTGGAGCCAACCGCTAACTCGGACTAACTGAAATTTCATAGAATTATAGAATAATTCAGTTCCTAAGAACAAGAACTCTGCCTTATGAATGTGGGATATTATGCTTCTGGATCCACGACTCAAAATGCTAGGAAATGGCCAGATACTGCTACACAATATTGTGCCCAAGCTTTCCGTAGCAAAGAGCAGCCTGCATGTTGACAAACAGCAATGGAGGCAGTCAAGATAGTCTACAGGATACCCTCTTGTGCTCATTACCATTCACAAAGTGACACCAAACAAGGGAAAATCCCAGAAGATAATTCCTTTTTTACCAGTTAACCTCTTCTCACCCAAATGCAAAGCAATTGTCATGGCTGTGTTTTGACAAGTGTGAATAGTGAGCCATAATAGTACACCCTCTTTGAATTCTATGATTTCATATATCAAAAATCATCTGGTCCTTAGCAGGTCTGAAAATTAGGTAAATGCAGTCTCAGATGAATATCGACACATTACATATCACATCATGTAGTTACTTATTTTACAAATATGAAGACAAAATGGAGAACCCATTTTGAAAAACTAAGTACACTTTATGATTCAACCACCTTTAGTAGCAATAACTTGAACTAATCATTTTTGTCTGACTCTGTCAATCTCCCACATCACTGTGGAGGAATTTTGGCTGTGTTTGGTTTTCGCCAAACATGGCACTGTGCGTTCTGCCCAGACACCTCCACTTTGGTCTTGTCTATCCAAAGGGCATTCTTTCATAAGTCTTGTGCTTTGTCCAGATGCAACTTTGCAAGTCTAAGCCATGCTGCCATGTTCTTTTTAGAGAAAGGAGGCTTTCTCCTGGCAACCCTTCCAAACTAACCATACTTGTTCTAATTGTACTGTCATTTAACATGCTAACTAAGACCTGAGATGCATGTAACTCTTGGGTTTTTTTGCAATTTCTCTGACCATTGCATTGTCCAAACTTGGGGTGAATTGGCTTGGGCATCCACTCCTGGGAAGACTGGCAAGTGTGATGAATGTTTTCCACTTGTGAATAATCTTCCTCATGGTAGAATGTTGGGCTTTAAATTGTTTTGAAATGACCTTCTAACCCTTCCCAGACTGATGGGCAGCAAAAATTGCTTCTCTATGATCATTGCTGATGTGTTTCCTCCTTGGCATTGTGTCAATGGCTCCAGACCAGCAAAGTGCTAAAACTTCAGCTTTTATAGAGGTGGTCACACTTGTTGATGATCAGTTACTCAAGGGAATTAGGATGGTAGCACATGGCTGCTGCTTAGCCTCTTAATTCCTATGGAAGTAGTAAAGGTGTACTTAGTTTTTCACACACGGCTTCTCCATTTTAGCTTTTTTTAAAAAAAAATAAACCATGACATATTGTAATATGTTATGTGTTGTTGTTCATCTGAGGTTGTATTTACCTAATTTTAATACCTGCTAAGGACCAGATTATTTTTATTATGTCCTGATATGTAAAACCATAGAATTCAAAGCAGGCGTACTTTCTTTTTCACATGACTGTAGTCTGCATACAGTTGTTTGTCCACACTGTCCTGTTGAAGTGGCAAAAAAAAAGGAGTCTATCACCATCATCCCTGCCTCCTGGACTTCTGCTTGGGTCTATTTTATATTATTATTCAGTGTAGACAGAGCATAAACAAAATGAATGGAAAAGGTCTGGAGGAGAGTAGGAGAGAGGAAGCCATTTGAGTAAATGGCATCTCTGTTATTGCTACTTGTTACGTACTGTGCCATGATGGAGAACAATTCTAGTCGTTTGGGGCATATTCAAGGTAGCAAGAAGTCATTAATATAAACTTAGAGAACGACCAATCAGGAAAGGCTTCCCCCCCCCTTCATGCCCAGGACATGAGCTGCCAGGATCTCCTTACCTAGTCATCATAAAAAGCAGGATGCTGAGTTAGGTGGATCTTTGGTTTGAGAATTCAACAAATTATGTCACCTTTGTTTATTGCTTATTTAAAGTATTGTGCTCTTCAGCCAA